TGGCACGGAGCCTCCTCTTTCTCCTGAGGAGCAACGGGTGGTTTCTAAGTGCAGGCCTGCAGACAGCAGCCCATGGGTGCCCACAACACCCCAGGGCTCACCTCATCTCATACACCCAGTCCATTTGGAAGCACCCTGCCTACGGGGATCTGCAGACAGCACGGTGGCTAAGCACCCCTGTAAACAGGGTCACACCAACCAGCAAAGTGACTAGCTGCCTGCCCTGCCGCCCATCCTTGCTGCAGCTTCGGAGTCAGCCTGGGAATCGGGCAGGTCCAGGCAGCAGGGGGCCCCCCCCCGAGCAGCTCTTCTGTGCCTGCCTGCCTTGCCCCCTGGCCTGTCTGCTGACGCGACATGGGAGTCACTTTTCTTCGGAGTCAGCCTGGGAATCGGGCAGGTCCAGGCAGCAGGGGGCCCCCCCCCCAGCAGCTCTTCTGTGCCTGCCTGCCTTGCCCCCTGGCCTGTCTGCTGACGGGCGACATGGGGGTCACTTTTCTTTCTTGCCCTGGGTTGCCCTGGACCACTTTTGGGGGACCGCCACCCCCCCCCACCCGGTTTCCACGCCCGGCTCACCTGTTCTTGAGGTGAGCCTCCAGGTCGCAGCGTGGCATGACATCATGGCACACGGACGAGAAGGGGCAGTGCACCGGCAGCTTGTCCAGGAGCTTGTGGACCAGGATGCTGGACTTTCTGCACAGCTTGACATGCAGCCGCTTCCGGTCCAGCGGACAGAAGTCCTTCTCCTGCAGGAAGCTGTGGAGGCACTTGTGGCAGAAGGTGTGCCCGCAGGGGGTGTCCAGCGGCTGCAGCAGCGGTTGGAGGCAGATGTGGCACACCAGGTCGTCGTCCACCTCGTGCTGGTAGTTGTACAGGTGGTTCTCCCGCGTCCAGTGCTGCTGGCCGCACTCAAAGCACAGGGGGTTCAAGGAGGAGGGGGGCTGCTCCACAGAGAGGGGCTCGTCGCCGGCCGTTCCCATCCTGAGGCAGTGGGGGCCCAGTCTGTCCCCTCATGGGCCAGGTGTCCACCTGCGGGGGCCGGACTAGCCAGGGCTCCTCCCTTCTGGACAGACAGAACACACACAAAAGAAAACAGTTCATGTTGCAGGATACGCCGAGGGCACCGACGACGACAAAGTGACTGAGTCATTTAGCATTTGTGTGAACCCGTCACCACACACGCGCACGCGCGCGCGCTCGCGCACGAGGTCACGTGCATACTGCCAGGTTCTCAAGGAAGCCTGGGCTTGGGTTGAGAGCAGAGAATGTCACAGACGACGTAGTGTGACGCACGGACACGGGACGTGTTATGGTGACTGTGGTCCCCACACCTCACTGCTCGTGGTGGCTGGGAAGCCAGAGAGCCTGCACGCCTGCGTCAGGGAGCACAGGGTGCCTCTCATCCCAGAAGCACTTTGCTCCTGGTTGCCCTCTTGCGCCGGGCACCCCCAGGACTGGGTCTTTGACCTGTTGCCTGAAGGGCAATCCAGGCTAACGAATAAGAAGCGGCCTTTGCTTGATACTAGGTTTGGGGGAGGAGGCGGGCTTCTAAATAGGTCTCAGTTACAGTTATCCTCTCTTACAGGATACAGACGATCAATTTGCAAATACACAAAACAGCATCTACAAAATTCTACATAGGGTAGTATTCTTCTATGCCTTCTAAAACAGACAAAAACTAGAATGGCACTCAACGGTGGAAAGGTCACAACTTCCACTTGTACCTTGTATTGTCCACACTTCCATCCGGCTTGCCTCCTGGAAGCAGCAGTTTGTGTATAGCGGGGAGGGTCGGGGTCTCCAAGAGAGGACGAGGTCTTTGAAATAAGCGAGGGAGCCGTGGGTTCACCACATGGCGTGCCGGCCACCGGCTACCCGCCCGGAGGAGAACAAGGTACGCTCTCATTACGTGACAGCAAAGACACCGCCTGGCTTTGCTCTCCAACAAGAACCAACCCCTGCCGGTCAGAGCAGGCGTGGCACCGTGAGTGGCGGGGGCTATGCAGAGAAGGCGCCTGTGGCCCACCAGGGGGATGGGGCAGCTGCTAAATGATACCAATAGGTGCATGGATGTGGGGGCGGGCCATGCAAATAAGGCATCTGGAACCCCGACCAGGGCCAGAGTCAGTGTTGTTAGCTGGTAAGGCTTAGCGTGAGCCAACCCTAGAGGTTGAAGAGGAGCACCTGACAACTACCAAGGAGAGCTGGTTGTGGAGTGAGTCCTTTGGGCCCAGGGTCCCTGCGGGCGGAACCTCCTAGACTCGAGAGAGAGCGAGGGCACAGGATGGCGAGAGGTGGTGGCAGCAAAGGGCCCAGGAGACCGGTGCAGGCCAGCACGGTGGGGTTCCCAGTCCCCGAGGTAGGGGTGTGGCCAAGAAACTGTCCTGATGAATGAACTGTAAGCTCAGTCCTTCCTGATCCCGAATCACAACCTGGTACTTCACCAAACCCCATCACGGTGAATACGGCCTGTGAGTCTGGGTGGCCAATGCCACACCTGATAGAGCCCAGCAGAGCGCAGAGGACCCTGGCAGAGCCAGCTGGTGTCAGAGCAGGCGAAAAGGCTGGAGGGGCTTTCCCCGGTGAAGCTGGGCCGTGCAGCAGCCTGGTGCCCCTGACACACTTGTCCTGTACAATGTGTCCTCATGTCCAGCTGCTAATGCACCAGGGGCTACAGTGTCAGCCCCGCAGGCAAATGGCTCTTTCTGTAACCAGTCCTCTGGAACAACTCAGGGACAGAGACGTCTGGAGACGGTGGTGGGGAAAACCCATTTCTAACAGTGCACGTTAGACGGACTGCAAGGAAGATACGCCCAGGATGCTGGGTGAACACGCGGGACCAGAACTGGTGACAACCCCGTGCAGCCTGGTGGCGGAAATACGTCCCCAAGGGTAAACAGGCGCAGCAGCCTGCAGCGAGCCTGGGCCAGAGGCAAAGCGCGGAGAGGGGAGAACCTTCCGCAGCAGCGGAGCGGTAGCGAGAAGCACCCTCACCGCTGCCCCAGGCCAGGCAAGCCCGGCACAGCCAGGAAACAGGAAGCGACAAAAATGCAGAGGCAGATGCCTGGGCAGGAAGTGGAAACCTGTGTGTCTCCACCTCAGAGGGCAGGTCAACTGTGCCAGACCGCCAGCACGGCCCGTCTGGAAACAAGAACCCTCCCTGAAGGCCCTCCTGAGGCGGCCGCACACGTTCCTGGAGGGCTGGCATGAGATGACAGTGGGGTTTTCCCAGGAGCTGTCTGAAGACGCCCTCCTGTGTGTATTTTGCTCTTTTGCTGTTGGGGTACTTATTGGAAGAACAACACTATTATTCTAGCAGATTTAGCGAGTACGGTGCTACGGGTTGGGTGTTGGGCTGATGACGGCAAGGTTGGTGGTTCAAACCTACCACCGCTTCTGTGGGAGAAAGATGAGACTACCTGCTCCTGTAAACACGTACAGTCTCGGAAACTCTACCTAGGGTCACTGTGAGTTGGCGTTAGGCCATGAGCTTTGGAAGACTCAGGCGCGCCTGACCCAAGCCATCACAATCTTCTGTGATCTTCCTGTGTTCCAGCAAGGCTGAGCCATGAAGGAGGAAGACCAAGGAAGACCCGTGCACTTGTACTGCGGGGTTGACGAGGAGGACTGAAAGCACTACAGAATGCCAGAAGGACAAACAGGTGGGTCTTGGAAGAAGGATGGCCAGAGTGCTCCTTAGACACAAGGACGGGGAGACTCCTGTCCTCACGTCCCCTGGACACGCTGTCAGGAGAGACCAGTCCCTAGGGAAGGACAGCGTGGCACAGTAGGTCAGCGACATAAGAGGAAGGCCTTGACAAGATGGACTGACCCTGTGGCGACCACAATGGGGTCAGACATAAGAACAGTTGGCACATGACAGGTTCTGTTGTACACAGGATTGCCGTGAGCCGGCATCACCAGGACGGCTCCAAATGTCCACCACCACGAACCAGGAAGGGGTGGGCTAGAGTCAGCGGGCTGGCTGACCTCAGACAAATGATGTGTGTGCAAGTTTTCTAACGGCAGCTTCCTAAGGGATCAGTGCCAGCCACACTGAGTGACACCTGTATTGTATAACTCCCCCTAACATCCCTTAACACCTGTATTGCTTAACTCCTTTAAGCCCCTTAACACCTGTATTGCAAAACTCCTTTACTGTCCCTTAACGTCTGACATAATTAAGGTTTATTGTGCCAACCTGGCCGATAAACACATGTGGGGTTAATTGAAGGATGGAGAGATAAATGGCTCAGTGAACCTCGCCTTTCTAGTTCTCGGGTCTCTTGCTTTCTGATGGTCGGACCAGGGTGCAGCTGCCTTGGCCATTTCCCTGCGTCAGCTGGCAAGGCTCACTTCCTGTGAGACATCCCCAAGAAGCCACATGGACCTACCCCGATGCAGCCCTGGGTGTTGGAGCAGCCATGTGGAGACCCCTGCCAGCACTGAGATGCTTACATGCTCACTGACTCGGCCTTCCTCCTGCAGTCGGCATCATTGGATACGTTTTGTGAGACTGAGGAGG